AGATCGGACTCAGTTATGATTTTGCAGTGAGAACATTTCTTGTGCAGGTCTACATGTTTCCTTGGGAGGAAAGCGATGGCGAACCTAAAGTAGAGACATCACCCTGCCAACAAAAGTCCGCATGGTCAAAGCAAGGGTATTCCCAGTAGTCATGTATGGCTGCGAGAGTTGGACTATAAGGAAGGCCGAGAGCCAAAGAATAGATTCTTTTGAACTATGGTGCTGGAGAAGCCTCTTGAGAGTCCCTTGGACTGCAAGAAGATCAAATCAGTCCATCCTAAAAGAAATCAACCCTGACTGCTCCCTGGAAGGCCAGATAATGAAACTGAAGCTCAAAGACTTTGGCCACCCAATGGGAAGGGAGCCCTCACTGGAGAAGACCCTGATGCTGGGAAAGATTGAAGGTCAAAGAAGACGGGGACGGCAAAGGATGAGATGGTTAGACAGTGTCATCGATGCAACGAACATGAAACTGAGCCAACTTCAGAGGACGGCGGAAGACAGGAGGGCCTGGCCTGATCTGGTCCATGGGGTCACGAAGAGTCAGACTCGACTGGGCGACTGAACAACAACAACAACACATTCAGGATCCACTGAGTTCAGTGCAGCTTAACCCCAAGTAGGCAGGGTTTGCCGTGTCTTCTGGGTGGCGCCTGGAATTCTGGGATTACCACTAGAGTTGGCAACCTCCAGCTGGGGCCTGGAGATCTCCGGGAATTCCAACTGACCTCCACATGACAGAGATAAGTTCAGTGGGAGAAAAGGTCTGCTTTGGAGGGTGGACTCTGGGACCTGGGGATCCCCCAGAATTACAGCTCATCTCCAGACTACACAGATCAGTTCCTCTGGAGAACATTGATGCTTTGGAAGGCAGATTCCGTGGCACTGTACCCCACTGAGGTCCCTCTCCTCCCCAGATCTCCAGCAGGCTCCCAACCTGCGTCTGGCAACCCTCCCCAAGCTCTGCCTCCAAATCTCCAGGAATTTCCCAGCTCAGAGTTGGCATCCCTACCAAGAACGTTGTGTAGGCCGGCAGCGTTGATGCCTTTGCCACCCCAAAACAGGATTTTATTTTAATGACCCTCTTTAAGGCATATTTCTGACTTGGCCCCTTGTGAGTGCGCCCTTGAGACCTTTCCCTCTAGACTTTTCCTCCTGACGGTTAATTCTTTTACTGCAGAGAAAACAGGTTCCAAAGGGCACCGCTGGTAGGCCAGGCTAGATGGGGGGGGGGGGGAGAGGGGCCAGGCAGGTGCCGTCTGGATTCTGGGAAGCAAAGTCCACCCCACAGTTTCCAGCTCTGCTGTTTGGCAACCAGGCCAGGACTTCTGTGAGGTCATTTGCATTTCACAAGCTTCTGGGGACTCTTTGAGGCCAGGAATGGGATCTGGACACCTGCAGCAATACACATGAGTCATGTGTTCCCTCTAAGCTGAGTGAGTGTGAGCCAGCTCACAGTTTTTTAGCCTCCGGCTCATACATTTTTGTCTTAGCTCAGGAAGGATGGGGCTCCAGAGCAAAGTAATTCATGCAGCAGCCAAGTCGCTCACTCACAACTTGAATGCCCAGGAGCTCACAAAGTAGAATTTTTGCTCACAAGACTCCGCAGCTTAGAGGGAGCATTGGTCCATCTTGATTTTTCTTTTTGTTTGTTTTGCATTTGCCCTTTTGGGGGTTTCCAGCTTTTCATGCTTTCTTAATGTAAAAAGGTAAAGGTCTCCCTTGCTCGAAAGTCAGTTGAGTCCGACTCTAGGGTTGCAGTGCTCATCTCCGTTTCAAAGCCGAAGAGCCAGCGCTGTCCGAAGACGTTTCCGTGGTCATGTGGCCGGCATGACTAAACACCGAGGCGCACGGAACGCTGTTCCCTTCCCACCGAAGTGGTACCTATTTATCTACTTGCAATTTCTTGCTTTCGAAATGCTAGGTTGGCAGGAGCTGGAACTAGAGACGGGAGCTCACTCCGTCATGCGGCACACTCGGGTCTCGAACTGCTGAACTACCGACCTTCCACAGCCTGCAGTTCAGCGTCTTAACCACTTGAGCCACCGCAGCTCCTTTCTTAATGTAGTCATGCGTATTTGTCGTGTCACTGAGTAATACATTTTTCAAAAATTAAAAAAAATATATAAAGTGTCTTTTGGGATAAAAACATGGTCTCCGTAAAGGAGATATCCTGCATAAACAGAGTTACCAACTCTGGATTCAGAAATACCAGGAGATTTTGGGGGTGGAGCCCGGGGAGGGCGGGGTTTAGGGATGGGAGGCCTCTCCGTGGAATAAGACACCACAGAGTCCACCCTCCAAGCCAGCCATTTTCTCCAGGGGAATTGATCTCTGTAGTCTGGAGATGGGTTGGAATTGAACACACACGAGCACAAGGAGGAAGCTGCCTTCTACTGAATCTTACCTTTGGGTTCATCAAGGTCGGGATTGTCTACTCAAACTAGCAGCAGCTCTGCAGGGTCTCAGGTGGAGGCCTTTGGTGCAGCGGTTAGGAGTGCAGACTCGAACACTCCTCCACATGCAGCTTTCGGCGTGACCTTGGGTCGGTCACAAGCTATTTCAGAGCTGTTCTCTCAAGGGCAGTCCTCAAGAGAGCTCTCTCAGCCCCACCTCCCTCGCAGGGTGCCTGTTGTGGGGAAGGGAGTCCTGTGTTCAGTTTTGGGCACCACATTTGAGGAAGGATGTTGACAAGCTCGAGCAAGTCCAGAAGAGGGCAACCAGGATGGCGGGAGGGTTGGAATCCAAGTCTTACGAGGAAAGGCTGAAAGAGCTGGGTCTGTTTAGCCTGGGAAAGAGAAGGCTTAGAGGGGACATGATGGAAGGGCTGTCATGTAGAAGATGGAGCAGATCTATTCTCTCTTGCTCTGGATTGCAAGACTAGATCTAATGGGTGGAAATGACAAGGGAGTTATTACCGGATAAATATCAGGAGAGACTTCCCAACTGTCAGAGTGGTTGAGCAGTGGAACAGTCTGCCTCGGGAGGTGGTGGAGGCTCCTTCGCTGGACGTTTTCAAGCGGAGGCTGGACGACCATCTTCCGGGTATGTTGTTGGGCTATCTTTCGGTTGTGCTCCTGCAGAGTGCAGGGAGTTGGACTAGATGACCTGCAAGGTCCCTTCCAACTCTAACATTCTATGATTCTATGAAAGGAGATTGTAAGCCACTCTGAGACTCCTTCAAGTACCAAAGGGCGGGGTATAAATCCAATCTCCTCCTCCTCGCCTACTACCAGATTGTTTAACTGGAGATGCCGGGGATTGAACCTGGGACCTTCTGCAGGCCAAGTAGAGGCGCAAGCCACGGCCCCTCTTTACAGCTCTCCAGGGTCTCAGGCAGAGGTCTTTCCCATCACCTCCTGCTTGGTCCTTTTTAACTGGAGATGCTGGGGACTGAACCTGGGACCTTCTGCAGGCCAAGCAGAGGCTCTGCCACTGAGCCACAGCCCCTTCCTCCAGGAGATTTCCAGGCCCCACCTGGTGGTTGGCAACCATGTGCATAAAAGATATTTTATGAACCTCAAATGAAGATGGGGAATTCTTCCAAGCCCAAGCATATTCAGAATGGGGTGTGTGTGTGTGTGTCTGGAGCAGGCCAAGCTACACATGCGGCAGGCTTGATCTGTCACTCACCTCTGGAAGGCCCCCGGCTTCTTGCAGCAATCGGTTGTGGAGCACCAGCTGCCATAGGTCAGGAGAGTCCTGCCCAATGGGCAAAAGGTACCACCCTCCTTGGGCCTGCCCACATCATACGGCGCATTGGATAAGACAGGTTGTCATCCATGGAGACGTTGGACCCCACTAGGGTGTTGGTCTTCAGGGGCCACCAGACCTGCTTGCGCCGTGGCAGACTGAAGCTGCTAAACCCCCAGACGGGGCCCATTGCTGGCCAAGAATCTTTTGTTTTGTATTTTTTAAATATGTGCATGTGTGTGTGCGCACCTGGAAGTCATGGCAACCTCTGGTGACTGACCCCTACTGGGGGCCTGGAGGATATTCAGAGAGGTGGCTGAGTAAAGCCTGCCCCCACCTCCCGACTGCTGGTACTCCAAGGAGGTCTCCCACCCAAGGACTTGCCGGCGTTGACCCTGCTTCGCTTCCGAGATCTGATGAGACGGGGCTTGCCTGGACTATCCAGGTCAGGGCACTGGCCAAGAATCCAAGAAAAGAGGTGCTTTTCTCCCTCTCTCACAATACAAGAACTTGTGGGCACTCCATGAAATTGCTGAGCGGTCGGTTTGGAACGGATAAAAGGAAGTCCTTCTTCACCCAAAGAGTGATTAACACTTGGAATTCACTGCCACAGGAGGTGGTGGCGGCTACAAGCATGGACGGCTTCAAGAGGGAATTAGATAAGCATATGGAGCAGAGGTCCATCAGTGGCCCCTATTAGCCACAAGGTATAGATAGGAACTCTCGGGCTGGGGCCAGTGATGCTCTGTCTTCTTGGTGCTTGGGGGGGTGGTCAACAGTGGGGGGGCTTCTAGTGTCCTCCTGGCCCCGCCGCTGGACCTCCTGAGGGCACCTGGTATTTCTGGCCACTGTGTGACACAGAATGTTGGACTGGATGGGCCTTTGGCCTGATCCAACAGTGGCTTCTCCTCTGTTCTTACATGTCCTCTTCAGAACATCATGAAAATTCACGCCGCTTCTTTTCATGCAGTCATTACCAAAAACTTCCACCCTGGAGAAACCAGTAGTCTGAATGGGCCTGTGGGTTTAGAAATGCAGCATACACCTCATTGGCACACTTGGGAAAGGCTCTGGTGCCAGCCAAGGCGGGCAAGGGATCTTCGGACTGGTCCCAGTCTCTGCCAGCGGCACCCTGGATCCTGGTGCCACCGCTGACAGTCTCGCCTGCCCGGCTGCTGTGTTTTGCAAGGCTGAAGTTGGGGTGTTTGGGAGGGCGGGTGTGCCGCACACCCGGCGGTGCTTTTCCAAAGAGCAGGGGTGGTGGGGGGCCAATGACCCAAAGCTGCTGTTTCATTCCAGACAGAGAATCCGGCTACTGAGAGGCCGTACACATTTAAGGACTTTGTTCTTCACCCACGGAGGTCAGTCCCTTAGGAAACGCCAGTGCCCCTCTCTGGTGCCACGGATGCCCCATTCTGCCGTGGCTGTTGTCGGGGGGGGGGTTTGCCCCGCCCTAGTGGTCTCGTGGCACTGGGGCCACGTGTGTGCTGGTGAGGCTGGGTTAAGGCCAGGCCAGGGGGCAGAGGCGAAGCGGAGTGAGGCAGCGGCTTCCCTCAATGGCTCACGCTTGCGGTTGCTGCGGTTCTCTTCCACAGCCACAGGTCCCGAGTGAAAGGGTTCCTCAGGCTCAAAATGACGTACCTGCCCCAGAGCCACGGCCAAGAAGATGATGGCACAGAGCAGGCGGAGGAGCTGGAGGTGAGCTTCCGGGGCCTCCCTTGGCCTGGCCGATGGCCCCCAGCCAGGGCAATAGACAGAATGGATAACAGCCACGATGACCAATAATCAGACTCAGAGGAAACTGATAGTTATTGCGCAAAATGTCTATGCATTATAGTATCCAATAGTCAAGGTGTGTCAGAATATTCAAAAGGTAAGTTTAAACAATCAGTACATTCATAGTTGTTAACAAAGTTCTCTGGAATGCTAGCTGAACATGTTACCCTAATGGTTTGAACGCATCTTTAGACCTATTGTGTTTTTTGTAGTACTTTGGATTTTTGGATGTATACCTTTAAGAGTTGTTTAATACAACGGAGGAGATGTGTTACACCTGCTAAGGCTACTAGTGGTTGTTCAACCTGCCTGCACAGAACTCATTGAGCAGAAATGACAACTAGGATCTGGTGAGCGTATATAATTGTTGTTAAAATATGTTTTTTTAATTCTGTCATATGACGGAGGTAGTTGATTGAAACAATGTTTTTTCCATAGAAAATCTTTGTAGAAGAGTCTACTACTTAGACACCAATTGATGTTATATCAGGAACAAGACACGTTGTTGTATGTATTAAATTTTACTGACATAATTGTATATTTACAGGTACATTGCACAAAGTATTTTTACAAACGTGTTTTTTCCATTAATTTTGTAAGGTTCAGAGGAAGTCTCAACGAAACAATACGTCCTTCCGGAGAACTTCGTTAACAACTATGAATTCAATGATAGTTTAAACTTACCTGTTGTATATTCTGACATGCCTTGAATATTGGATAATATATCACATAGACATTTAGCGCAATATTTCAGTTTCCTTTGGGTCTGATTATTGGTTACCCAGGCAGGGTAACCCCCCCCCCCCATTTCCTCCTGTCACCCCCTTGGCTGAGCTTGACTGGGGTGTTCACGCCGTGTGCTGAAGCAGGCCGCTCACTTGGGTCTTGCTGGGTTTTGATTCTATGCTCTTGGTCTGTTTTAAAACCTGTCGAGCCGTCTTCCTTGAGCAGAGGGGTGGTTTCCGGATCATGTGTCAGCGGTGGCTGCTGAGGCTGGAGTCGGCCCTCTCAGGGGGCTGCACAGTCAGAAAGGTGGCCGGAGCCAAACCCTGTGCTTGCCGTTGCAGCCCGGCTGGATTATCCTGGACCAACCGGAAGCCTCTTGCCAGCTCGAGGAGCCGGAGGCCTCCCTCCCGCCAGGCTGGGAAGAGAGGCAAGACCTGCTCGGCAGGACCTACTACGTCAACCACGAGTCCAGGAGGACGCAGTGGAAAAGGCCGACTCTCCAGTAGGTGGTCCTTGTGCAGTCTTAGCCAGACGGGCTCTGTTCCGGAAGACGAGTAGAAGGGCCTTCTGGGAGTCTTGGGGGGGGGAAGGGAGGGGTGTCCTGGGGGCCAGTGGTTCTGGCCAGTGCCCTTGGTTGGCTTTCGTGGGCTGGGGCTTGTATGTGAATCCTGTGCGTGCCAGCCTGAGGGACGGTGGTGGCAGCATCCGGGGTGGCTTGAGGCAGGCCTCACTCAGGCCTCTCTGCCTTCCCTGGGAAGCAAAACTGGGTTGCACTTGTGCTGCATCTCTGAGTACGCAAAGGAAGCAGCTCCCACACAGAAAGGGCAGTGCCCCCTGGCACAGGCAGGCACACTTAACCCTCTCTTTGTGAAGGGACGGCAGACCTGCCGCGGAGAGCGACCGTACTCACCTGGAAGCCCAGCACGCCTTCGCCCACCGTCACCAGATCACAGAGGAGTCCGAGGGCCTGGACAACGGCGAATCCCCAGAGGTGAGAGCCCGCCTCCCTGGCGGGGAGGGGGGAAGTGATGGGGCTCTCAAGACCCCGGAGGGAGGGAGGGAGGGAGGGAGGGAGAGGTGGAAGTTTGGAGGTGGCCGGATGCACCATCCAGGTCCTTTGGAGGTCTGCTGGGGTTGGGCAACTGGAAAGAAACGGGACGGCTCAGCCCCACTCAGGAGAACCCATGTGGGGCAGCGATAGGGAGTTCTTTCGGGGGGGGGGGATCGGGATCCTTGGATCGGGAGGCGGCGGCGGGGGGGA